CCACAATACAATTATTGAGGTAGGAACATAGTTCCAACTGATGAGTCAAGCTCTCAGCTCTTGGTCTGGTGTTAGGTGAATAATATTACTACAACCGGACCAGGACACCTTTTCTCGATCTGAAATTAGTGAGTTTTTAACAAAAGTTTTGTTGATCGAGCCTGAAAATGACCAAACCCAAAATAACCCACTAAAAATAGCTCAAACCCGACTTGAGCTACTCGCTAATGTAAAAATTTTAAGAAATCATCATAAATAAGAGTAAAATAGTGCATTTATGCTTAAAATAGAAATTTCATATTCTTATTCTCAACATAGAAGTTCCCACGATGATATTATCACATTCTATGGTGGTATCCTACTTTTTCTTTTGGTACTATATATTAATATTATTGATATTGTACTCCTATTTTGAAGATAAAAATATGAAACTTCTCTTTTGGTTTTTTTCATTTTTAATCTTAGTTTAGTCCTTTTCCCAATTTTTTTTTTGAAAACATATACTTCGTACTTCAAAAAAAATATGTGATAAAAATTAGAATATGTTTTTAAGTTTTGTTATTATTCATTTTTAGGGTATAAACATGTTTTTTATAAATAGATATCTGACACTTTTTACAAAATTGGTTCATATTAATTTTTTTATAATATGCTTAATACTTTTAAATATATCTAAAAAGTAATTAAAATGGAAAATCACATATTATAATGGCTTTTGATATTTTTCTTAGTGTAAATCCAAGTGCTAGTAAAAATTTGAATATTCTAAAAATAAAGCTCATGATCTCTTAGGTCGACTCGAATTTGATGACTCAGAGTCATTAACATGTAGTTTTCAATTCAAATTTGAACTTATTTAAATTCAATCTAACCCAAAGCCAAAATTACCGAACACTGATCGAAAACCCTGTTTAAATAAGTAAGCTTTAATGGTTAATTCTAAATAGAAATTTCTTTTGTAATTATATTCTTTTTTAGAATAAAAAATGCATATAATTTTCGTCAAATATCTTCGGAGTACTTTAAATTGTTGTTGACCCATTCATTTATCTAAAGAATGTATTTGTGACAAAAAAAACTCCCAAAATATTTGTCAAACAGCACCTTCATACATTGGTAATACTACGTCCGTCCATTAATTTCTTTTTAAATTTCCTTTTTGGATTGTCTAAATATTTATTTTTCCTTTCCTATTTTGGCAAAAAACTTTTAATGAATGTGCCATTATACTCATAATTTTTCACTTTATTATTTACTTTATTTCATCACATCAAGGGTAAAACATGTAAAATTTTTATACTTTTTAACTGTTTTTAATCTATGTGCCAAATCAAAATGAGAAAGAAAAATTTGGACAGAAGGAATATAATTAATGCAAGTATTATCATAAAATTTATGAGATGAATAACAGTTGTGATATCTTGAACACACACAAATGTATCTTATTGTGCATCATCCCTAACTTTTACTTACACGGTCACACCTAACACAAACTGAAAAAGCTAAGGCGTGCTTATAAAATGTGAATGATATGGTAGCAAAATATAGAAATTGAAGGAAAAAAAGATAAGACTTATTTTAAAGGGTTCTTTTAGACTCGGTCGGATGGTCATTGAAAAAAATAAATTTAATTTTAATCATATATTAGTGGCAGGAAGTAGAATCTGTGTCTGGTACTTACAAAAATACTATGCTTAGCATAGTTGACTTTCAGTGAGTTACCAAAATAAAACTCGAATCTACTTCTTGACACTCTTTACATTTGCCAATAGCACAACGTCACAAATGGAAAATTGAAAATTGAAGTAAAGGAAAAATTGAAAGGGGGTGAATGGGTCTTTAAAACATGCAGTAGTAGGTAAAAAACACTTGGCCATATCATACTTGGCGATATCATATGCTTGCTTTAACATTGTACTGTATGCGTGTACACATGTACACATACACACCAAGGGAATCATAATTGGAAGATCATTGGAAACACGTCACATCTCCCTCCCCCTTATTCCATCCCTGCCTGCATCGAATCATTACTACTACTCCCCCTTTCTAATTTCCTAATTTGATTACAAATGGCAGGTCACAGAGTAAAATTTTCTATTTTTTAAAATCATTTTATTTACAAATTGGTATATTAATAAGATATAAAAATTACTCCCTCCGTCCCACTGTCTTTGTCCACTTACCTTTTGGCACACCATCCAATGCACTTCTTTAATCCATTTTATCTTGTAATTTGTATATTAAAAAATTATAGAAATTATATATTAATAATCTATATATTAAGACAAATCAAACAAGATCACTCATGACTATTTTTAGGCTTACACATTGAGAGAATTTGATGAGTCAAAATGCTTAGATGAACAGTTCCAAAAGTCAAATGTGGACAAAGACAGTGGGACGGAGGTAGTACATATTAAAAAACTACGTCAAAAGTTCTATAAAACAAGAGGTGACAATAATATTTTATTTTATCAAATACTTAATGAAACTGCGTAAACAAACAAAAGTTATCGAGAGGAGAGAAAAAATTGTAATCTATTTAGGGACGGAGAGAGTATGAAATAAAACAATCATCACTCATCCCACAAAAATTAATACTCCCTCTCTCTTATTTTTGGTTACGAAAATTGAGTTACGTGGTACAAATCAAAATTCTACGTCTTTTGACGCTTAAATTTTTTCGGATGCCGAGATTCCTATGGCTCTGCGCCTTACTACAACATAGAATATTACTCCGTCCATCTCAAACCAATGTTGTTAGAATCGGACTGGACCGGATCGGCCGGTCCAACCGCTTGAACTGTGACCCAGTCACAAGTCCGGTCTTGTTCAATGTTAAAACTTGGTATTGGTTTGGCCCAATAAAAACCGGGAGAACCACTGAACCGAGTGGCTCGTATAGGACCGGGCGGTTGCCGGGTTCAGTTGAAACACCGGTTAAGAACTTAAGGCACATGCCTGCATTTCGAACCCTTGTCCATCACTTTTAAAGATAGAGCTTATCCACCTGAGCTAATAGGAGACTTGTGTGATAACTATACAATCAAGTATCTATTATTACAGATTTTGTGTCATACCAATGTCGAGGAGGCGTCTCGCTTTGGCGTGTCCATTGACTTATCGAAACTGGTTACAACAAGTGAGCAGGCAACGGAAGGCTTACACTTAACATTATGAGGAATTTAAAAATGGTCTCACCAATGGTATCTTCCAGGCACATACTCTAGTGAATAACATACAAATATTCATTCCAACATACATACAAACATGTATAATGGATAAATAAAACGTGATATGATTTTGACTCCTAAAGAGAACTAACAGTAATGATTTCACTTGAGATCTCTATCTCCGGCTCATCATCTTTTCCTTAGGGTATCTTCAAGCCTTACATTCCAACTCTTCTCACATGGATCTTCATTTACTTCTTGCCTTTGACATAATTAGAAAATTTCCATAGAAAAGAATCCTTGAGTTGTAGGCAAGATGTATGAGGTTGAAGAAGAGAATTACATCCTTAATATAGAGATACACCAAGGTTCCCATGACATTGTCTGCCATGACCTTTCCCGGCAATATCATGAGATGACCAGGGGGCGCTCCGGTGCCCCGTTCGTAAAATTGACGGTTCCTACCCTCCAGTAAACTCCCCCCATCCCGCCCCGATCTGAACACACACCCCCCGGCCACCCCCTTCAATTGCACCCAACCCGAACACACCCCCCCTCCCCCGCACAAGTAGAACAATTTACGTCAAAATTTTACATCAATTTATAGAAGCTAATTTTTAATCCAAAATAAAGTCTTATAATTTGGGATATGGAAAATAGCAATGATAATAAAAAGTAAAAATTAATTTAAAACTACTAGCTATAAGAAAAAAAGTAATAAATGTAAACATGACAAGTAAAACAATGACTATGTTAAACAACTAACAACGCCTAAAAAAGAAGAAAAAATACTAACTTAAAAACTGACTTATAAGTCATCTTAGAAGGGGCACTGCTTATTAACATTAAAACTGCAATGGCTAGTAGTATCAATCTAAGATCAATAACTTGTTTGGAGAGCGTAGAAGATATGATTTTCCACATCTTCTGATATTAGATATCTTTTTCAGTGTTTCTTGAGGCATAAAAAGAATTCGAATTTGATATATTTAGGTATTACAGATCTTCTGAATTGCAGATTTCTATATCTCCCAAGTTTGGGAGACATAAATGTGGAAATTCAATATCTCCTCAATCATCGATCATTCCTGCCACAGACCTATCACTGCCACTGCCAACTACCCTTGTTGCTGGCAAACACTAATTAAATCATAATTGTAAATCTATTCAAACAATTAACTTCATTTTAGATTTCAAAACTCATATCATATCTCTAAAACTCACCAAACAGGTCTTAAGTGGTAAAATATTTTGAAGGTCATGTGAAAAAAAATTAAAATTAGTTTCCTATATTTATTGTATACCAACTTGTTTAAGTTTTCAGAAAGAATTTTTTTTTATGAACTTACATCTGTTTTCTATGACGTTAAGCTCAACCACACAATCATTTTAATATTTGAAGGAAAATAATATGCCCATATTTTGATAACACTTAGATTGCATAGTTAACACACATTAAATATTCTTTTTGTAGCATGTGTAGTGTCAAGTCCCCGAAGAGAAGGCATCGCAGACTAGTACAAAAGTTAAGGACAATGCGAGCGATTTGTTTAGAATGAAATTGCAATATTTTAGAAGTATTAAGCATATTGTATACCGCAAGTGCATACTTTCATTTTGTGCCAGATACAGAGAACCTGAATAGCGATGGAAGGAAAGAAGTAAACAGGACGTAGCACTGAAGTGACAGACGGGGAAGGGAAGGGCACCCAGCAACCTTAGGCCTTAAACTATATCAAATCAAAAGCTTGGAAATAGGGAGTGCCCTAGCACCTCATCCATATGCATCCCTTCAGGAGCCAAAGTTAGGAACAAAATTATGGCAGCCCACTCCTAGACTCCGACACCTTACTGAATAAGTCCAAATTAAAATCTAAACTCCAAGCAGCAAAATTCACTGGAAATATTCAGGATAACACTTTAATAAAGATAACGGTCCAACAATATTCGGGGTAAAAAGAAACGAACACCTGAAAAGCACAAAACTAAGTCATTATTTCCAGAGTTAGCATGCATGGGGAGAATAAGGGTAGCAAATTGAGGAAGACTGCGGGAACACACCCAGACCAAGCCTGATTTGCACAGTTCAGCAAATCGAGAGTAACGCTTAGACCACGCCTGATTTGCGCAATTCAGCTGCACCATGAGCAAAGTGGCACCTCTCTCCGAAAGTACAAACTCCTTTACTGAAATTGTCACAAACCTTTGTTTTGAAATTGTTTGCGCTCAGAGCGTGACCACCACCATGTGCCGCTGCAGGTGCTGCAGGTCTTCCCACTGAACCAAGTCGCCCGATGAGTTCCTTCACCATTTCGCTGGCTTGAGAAATTTTCTCAAACGGACCCTCAATCTCAATGTTCTTCAGATTGGTATCTGTTTCATGATCTCTGATTGACAGTTTCACACCAGTTTGTCGACATATATGCTTGGAGTTCATTCCACCCTTCCCTATGATTGCACCGGCAAGGGATGCATCCACACTGATTTTTGCTGTTGCAGATAACCCAAAGCTGGCGGCAGGACCAGAGACAGCTGGAGGCTCAATCCTGCCACCGTAACGGCTTGGAATAGATGCAGGCCCAGTGGCAAAATGGTCATCATGAGCTGGTGTCAGGGGCTTCCCAATTTCCCATTCCCCGTGAGCAAAGCGGCAACTGTCACCAAATTTGCATCCTTCAGCTGTGTTGTATTTGTTGCACAGTTTGGTTTTGGTGGCAGCAGCAGATACAGTTCCATTTGAAATGGGAGGTGCAGGGACATGTTTGGCACTAGGAGCGGGGGCCAAATTCATTATCTGTGCAACAGCATTATAGCCACCCGGAACATAATGAAGAAAATGGCAGTTCTCACCAAACGGACATCCAGCAGTACTGCACACAAAACATGATGTGAAATGTATTGCTATACTAGATTGGAAATCCACAGGCTAATCATGTTAAAATAACATATAGTGGAATAAGTGTGCAAGACAGTAAAGTCATTAGAAATTAATTAGTTTAGCCAGAAGTTGCTAGAAGTTGTTTTGTGCATTAAAAGTCATTAGAAAGTAATTAGTTTAGCCAGTTCTATCAAATGGACTCGAGCATTCCTTAAAATATTCAAAGTCAAACACGAATCAACACAGTACAGAATCCTGCCACACCACTTCAGACCCTCAAAACAATGAATTTCTGTATGTATATTTTAACTTTCTAATGATAAGACAATAATACAATATATGCTAAATATTAATTGAAATATTCAAGGCACGTGGTTAAATAAAATAATCCCTTTATGAATATTTTCAAAGATATTTTCTTGGCATCATTGGAGAAAAAGCACAACAGCAGAAAAAAAAAATTAACATTTGCAAGTCCCCTTAAAACAGTCTTTACATATTTTGGCAAAATGACTTCTGGACCAAATTGAAAAATGTTCGCTGTTAGACCTTTAGGGATCACTAATAATGGAAACACTAGCTTCAATATGTCTTTCTATGAAGAGTTTCTGCACGTACTATCAGTGCACAATAACTCCATATTGATTAATGACCTTACAATTTTGATAATTCAGATAATTGCTAGATATCTGTCCAGTGACGGCAGTAAAGAACTAAAGATTGAATAAATGGTGGGGAAGGATAAAGTGTCATGGGAATTGGTTATGTTTTAACTTTTAAGTGTTGAAGTCATAGAGAAGGAAATTTCAATTGGAAAGAAACCATAAAAATGGTAAACACTAAAAATGGCACAAATAAAAGCAATGTAAGTATATGGACTTTTCACATTAAAACCCTGTAAAAACCTGATAGTGTTTCATAATTCTGATTTTAGGACCCAAAGGCATGCTTTTTAAATGTCAATAATTGGTACTCCTTGCTATAGAAGAGTACTCTAAAATGCAATACAATTAATTGACACTAGTTTAGTAGCTTACTTAACAAGAACTGCACAGATATATTTCTTCCTTCATGAATGCTTTGTTCATAACACAATGCATAGTAATTGTGTTAAACATCATGTAAGAGACGGATATGTGACTACCTAAAGTATAGAACCTTTCACGTATTTGCAGAAAAAGTAAGAAAATATAAGTATTAAGTGCAGATAATATTAGTATTAAGTGCAAAGTATTAATGACTACACACTTGACAAAAAATTAAAATTTTAAAATACAGATTTTAGGTAAGTGAAGATTATAACCTGAAAAACTTCGTGCATGGCTTGGATTTGCTTCCTATACCACTGGAATTTGTGTCCAATTCTGTTGAAGAACATTAATTATCTATCTCCAGTTAGAAATTGTGTTAATTTTAAACTGATATTGTTTGAATATCCAGCAGAAATTAATGATTATTTCTAGTGAAGATGTAATTTCTGAATGACTGAATATATTACTAGAAAATTAACAGTTACACAACTTTCATAAATAATTATTAATGACCGGAAGATGTAATTTCTGAATGACTGAATATATTACTAGAAAATTAACAGTTACACAACTTTCATAATTAATTATAAATGGGTTCCACCATGAAAACAGCCTAAAATCAATATTCTTACCTTCAGTTCAGTTAAAATAATTATAAGTTTGCAATAGTTGAATTGATAGATGATACATCTTTTTTGTGTGTAATATGGTTCTGTTTTGGGACATGTGAAAATATGCCACTGAGGACTCGTTCTCTTTCTTTCTTTCTTCTATACATAGTTTATGGATGACTGGATGAGCGTGACCCTCACTGTTCCCTCAACATCCAGGAAGAAAACAACGAAAGTTGAGACAATTTATGACAAAGAATGAACACCAGATGCTTCAGATCATGCATATATTTTGAATTTGTAAATCTCAAGATTGAAAGGCGTTGACAAAATCATTGAAGTAAGCTTCAGCACACCATATCTAACTAGCCGCATATATCTTTTACATACAAGTATACAATGGTAGCATATAGAAGATGACAATTAAAACAAGATGGTATAAATCCAATAAGGAAAGAAACAAACCTGGCTTGGATTTCTTGAATTCGCCATTGGCGTTCGGAGCAGCGTCGTACCTGTTCCTCTTTTTGGTAAACATATCTTGGCAGAGAGCGGATCGAAACAGAACACACGCCTGCAAGACGAGCAACAAAACCTGGCCGAGAAACCGGTGGTGAGATCTGCAGAAGATGTCGAATCGAGAAGCTTTATGTAAGGAAGCAGACCGACAAAACCCTGAGACTAGTTTAACCTAGGGTTTATACGCAGAATCGCAGATTGAAGAAGTATAGGCAGTCCAGTCGGTCGGTGGCTCAAAGAAATGAGCGTTAAGTAATAATAGGACGAGGATTATTTATTCGAAAAAAGCTAGGGTACACCCTCCATCTCCACCACACAAAAGCAAAAGCAAGAGAGGAAAAAGAATTTCAAAATGAAAAAAAAGGAAGGTTAAGATTGATGGTGTACAAATGGGGTACCCCAAATGGTGTACCCCTAGCATTCCCCCTCTTATTTATTCGGTCCTGCTAGGGGTACACCACACCAATTGAACACCATATACTCCCCCCTCCCTCGCTAACCCCACTTTCTTTTCTTCTATTTCCATCGCATTAATTCCCCATCTTCTCCCTCATTTCTCTCCTTTCTCTATCATCTTTAGAACTCTCATTTTTCATTCTCTCATAAATTCCCCATCTTCTCCCTCAACTCTCTCTTCATCGCTGCCCAGAAGCATCCAAGAGCGGCATCATCATCATCATGGATCGGAGCAGGGCAACGAACAATCCTTCGATTCCTTCACCGACACCTGTTTTTTCGTCATTGCTCGCTCCTCCCAGACCGCCATAATGAGTTAATGACTTTCGTTGTCATTAGTAGCGTCACCGGAGCAGTAAATTATGGCAGAGATGGTGGTGCTGTTTTATTCAGATTACACAAATAGTAAATGTCTGTGTTCAAGAAAATAAGGATATTTAGTGTCTGTGTGACTAAATAGTATTAATTGTAATTTTTCTTTTCTTTTTTAAACGTAGAAATTTTTTTGAAATGTTCTTGGTACTGTACTATTTCATAGATTTGAAGGGTGAAATTTTCGTCTAAATTACACAAATAATAAATGTCTGTGTATCAAGAATTATAGATTTTAGTGTTTGTGTAACTAAACATTGGTAATTATAATTTTTTTTCTTTTTTACAATCAAGAGTAATTGTGAAACATTCTTTACGATAGCATTATTTGGTATATTTGAAATATGTAATTTTTAATTTAGCTTTTACAGACAATAAGTTTCTGTTTACGATGAATTACAGACACTTGTTGTCTGTGTGACCAAAACATACTCCTTACTTAGTTTATTTTTGCAAAATAAAAAAAATATCATGAAACATTCTTATTATTGTATTATTTGGTATATTTGACAAGTGTGATTTTTATACATTAAAAACAACTATTAAAGGTCTGTATTTAAATAATTAAAAACTTACGGTGTCTGTGTGACCAAATTACAAAATATGTTTGAAACTAATTTAATTGACATTTTTATGGTTGCAATTTTCATCCAAGTTATGCAAAGTGTTTAGGAGAATTACATACATTTAGTGTCTATGCGACCAAAAACTTCATATTATTTTTTTTTGCATTTAAAAAGTTACAAATATATAGTATTTGTGTGACCAAAGGCTTCTTACTTCATTTGTTTCTTTTTACAATATAGGATCATTAGATTATTTGACAAGTGCAATTTTTATAAAAGATACACGAAATTAAAAAGTTGTGTTTAAATAAATACAAACATATAATGTATGTGTGGTCAAACAGTTCTAAATTGCAATTTGTTTTTCTTGTCCCAACAAGTCGTGAAATGTCTTTGTAAATAGATTATTTGGCANTTTTTTTTTGCATTTAAAAAGTTACAAATATATAGTATTTGTGTGACCAAAGGCTTCTTACTTCATTTGTTTCTTTTTACAATATAGGATCATTAGATTATTTGACAAGTGCAATTTTTATAAAAGATACACGAAATTAAAAAGTTGTGTTTAAATAAATACAAACATATAATGTATGTGTGGTCAAACAGTTCTAAATTGCAATTTGTTTTTCTTGTCCCAACAAGTTGTTTACAGATCCCTTATTCAAGAGCCAAGGTTTTTCTTCCCAAAAAGAAACCCTAATTTTTTTTTTCCGCCGGCGTGCATACTGCCGCCTGTGAGCCTCTCTCTGCCAGCCCCTCTTCCACCCTACTTTTTTTTCTCCTTTGCCCACGCTCTTTTGGCAGAGGCCATCAAGAACCTCAAACCTACAATTCCCCATCCTCCTTGTTTTCGTCCTCAGTGCCGATCTACCCTACCATGTCAGGAACAGATCCCTTATCGAAGCTCCCTACCGGCATCAAATTATTTATGCGGAATCTCCATACTTTGGTTCCTGATAAACTTACGGATACCAATTATCCTGCCTGGGCCCTGAACGTTACCACCGCTCTGTCCGCTCACCTTCTCCTCGGCTGGGTGATGGAGGCGACAAAGCCCCTCCGGAAAAACTCCAAAAAGATGGCGGTCATATTGATAATCCAGACTTTGCCCTCTGGACCTTGATTGATACACAGATCCGGGCTTGTCTTCTCGCTATTCTCAGCCCGTCTGTTCATAAGCATGCCCGAGGTTTCACCAGTTCCGTCTTTCTCTGGGCTGCCCTAGCCGCACGGTACAACTCTCTGTCTGATGCTCATATCTTCCAACTTCGAGACCGCCTACATACACTTCGGAAGGGTTCTAAAACGATGACTCAATATTTGGATGAAGTGGCGTCCATTGTGTCTGATCTTGATGCTGTTAATGAAATCATTCCTGAACGGGACGTCATCAACGCTGTTGTACGTGGTCTCCCTGCTGATTATTCATCCTTCAAACAACACGTTCGCAAGAATGAGGCCTCCCTCACTCTTGCTCAGCTCTCTGGTTGGCTTACCGCGGAGGAACTAAATCTGGAATTCGAACAAAAGCTAACCATGGCCGAGTCTAGCACCGGTGGTACCCACACGGCTCTCTATATGGCCAGTGGCAGCCGAGGCCAACAGGACGAGCGCCGCAGTGGTAGTCGCGGCCGTACACAGCAATCCGGTCGTGGTGGCGGCTCGGTGCAGCAGCATTCTCAGCCACATCATGGGCGCGGAGGTGACAGGTCCTCTCGTGGAGGCCCGTACCGTGGTGGAGGCGGACGTGGGTCTCAGGGTTGTGAACTCCCCGTTTGTCAGATTTGTGCTAAACGGGGCCATGCCGCCGCCTCATGCTGGTATCGCTATGATGAGTCTACTACTGAGAGTTCTTCATCTAGTGGGTCTCGTGCGATGCATGCGACCACGAGCACCCAAAACGGTAATTGGTACCTTGACACGGGTGCCAACACTCACGTCACCTCTGATTTCTCCAGGTTACACGCTCCTACTCCCTATACTGGCAACGATTTTATTTTGGTAGGTAATGGTCACTGTCTCCCTATCTCCCACACCAGCTCAGGCCAAGTTTATACCCCATCCGGTAATTTCCAACTCAAACACCTCAATCATGTTCCATCTCTTACTTCCAATCTACTTTCGATTCATCTTTTTACCAAAGACAATAACTGTAACCTTATTTTTACACCTGACAAATTTCAGATAGTGGACACTTTTACGAACCAGGTGCAGTACACGGGTCGTTGTGAGCGTGGTCTCTACTCCTTGCCATCGTCCCTGCCTCCTTCGAGTTAGTCCGTCTGTCAAGCCATCCATCTGTCCACATGGCATCGCCGGCTTGGTCATCCATCTCCTGTTGTCGCCAAAAATATTTTATCTTCCTTAGGGTTTAATTTTTCAAACTCTGTTCACTGTGAGTCCTGTTCTGTTGCAAAATCGAGTCGTTTACCTTTTTCGTTGTCTGAACACATGGCCACTGCGCCTTTTAATTTAATTCATAGTGATGTTTGGGGTCCTACCTCTGTTCCCTCTTTTAATGGCTATCGTTATTACATTTCCTTTATTGATGATTACAGTAGATTCTCTTGGATTTACCCTCTTCGGCGTAAATCTGAGGCCTATGCTGTCTTTGTTAGCTTTACCAATATGGTTTCTACTCAATTTAATTCCAAAATTCAAATTTTTCGAAGTGATAATGGAAAAGAATACTTGAACAATGCTTTTGGGCAGTTTCTTCAAACTTTAGGAACCATCCACCACACTTCGTGTCCCTACACCCCGGAACAAAACGGGGTGGCAGAACGTAAGCACCGCCACCTCATTGAAACGGTGGTGGCCCTACTCTATGACTCCTCTCTTCCCATCTCCTTTTGGGTTGAGGCACTTGCCACCGCTAACTACCTCATCAACCGAATGCCCACTCAAAGTTCCCCCTCCCCATACGAAAAGCTCCACGCCCAACCCCACTGCCTACACTCATCTCCGTCCTTTTGGCTACCTAGTTTACCCGTGGTCAAACAGCAGACGATTCGTCTAGTCCTCTCTCTTGCTCTTAATCACCAGTGGCCTCTACATCAGCTTGATGTCAGCAATGCTTTTCTTCATGGGGATTTTGATGACGATATATACATGGAGCAACCCATTGGCTATGTTGACTCCTCTTATCCCACTCATGTCTGCCGCCTTCGGAAGTCTCTATACGGTCTCAAGCAGGCTCCCCGGGCCTGGTATAACAAGCTTTCTTCCTTTTTGCAGGGTTTGGGCTTTCGGACTTGTCTTCATGACACGAGTCTGTTCACTTTTCACAGCTCTCGTGGAACGGTTATTGTCCTGGTATACGTAGATGACATTGTCATTACAGGCAGCTCCGATCAGCTCATCACCGCCGTTGGTGGTCCCAAAGTGGTGAAATACAAAGTCTAGAGGGGGGGGGGTGAATAGACTTTGTTACAGATTTAAAATCTTTTTCGTTTCTTTTGAAAATGTGAAAATGAGTGTTAATCTAGAGTCCTTGTGAACTTTAGATTTTGTGTGCGGAATTTTGGTGGGTAGAGTGAGCAGTAATGAATATGGATAGGTTGGTTTTCACAGTTAATATAATTGCAAGTAAGAATAAAAATAAGAGAGAGAGAGACACGCAAACTTTAACGATGTTCGAAGGTGGGGTAATCCTTCTACGTCCTCAAAATCCACTATGTAGTTGGTTGTTGAATAATGGACCAACAATTACACTTGTGTGAATTTCTGCACGGTATATCTTCACAAGACCAATGTTGCTACTGCACTCGTGCTGACTTTGTTGTTCCTTCGAAGGTCAAGCTTCTTCAACAACTGCAAGATCCGAACAATAGGACTTGCAAGATCAACTTGTAAGAGAGTTGACCTATCCCCTTTTTAATCAATAAGTTTGATCAAAAGTAATATCCTTCAACGTGGTGTGGTGCTTGAGGCAAGGAAACCTTCAAGTGTTTACCCTATAGCTTTTTGGAAGGGGGAGAAGTTTGCTTCTGGATAAGGAGTTTAGAAATATCTCTTTATCAAGCTTTTTGGGCTAACTGTGAATGAGATAGCTTTTGTGATTGCTTCGTTGTGTTGTTGTATCTCTTCTTCTTCTCTCCAGTCTTCCAAGGATGCTATTTATAGCTGGATTGGATAATCTATCCGTTGAATCATAATAGACTATCCGTTGCATTTGCTGGCTTCAATTTTGAATGAAGATTGTGATTTG